TAAGTACTGTTCAAAAATTTCGTTTAAGTAATAATTCTTCAGTTTTTCAAGCGGAAGTTTACGCTATTTAAAGTCCTTGGAAGGGCTTTTGAGAAAGATTCTCAAGAAGAAATTAATATTTATTCAGATAGCCAAAGTGCAATTCAAGCTATTGTTGCCTCTAAGATCTATACGGATTTGGTTCTTAAACATTTAATTTATATTGGAAGTTTCTAAGAAAGAAATATTTATTTTCATTGGATTCGTGGACATATTGGTCATTCAGGGAATGAACTTGCAGATTTTATGCAAAGCAAGCCTCTAAAAAAGAGGTTATAGATGATTTCTTCCAACGTCGATTGTTTCGTTTAAGAATTCTTTAAGGATTAAAGTTATACAGCTTGGCAATCCTATTGGGATAAAGAATTGAAAACAGATTACCTATAAGTCTAAAAAAGTTAACACAAAAAAATGTTTTGGAAATAGTTATCTGAATCAATTTCCTACTAATCATGCTCATGTTCCGTTTTACTACAATAAATTTAATATTAAATCTATTATGTGTCAATGTGGATCTAGAAGCAGATGTTGGAACATGTACTTAATTGTGTTTTATTAAAGGACAGATGGTGTAGATTTTATACCAAAATTGAGATTTGAATCGGATGTTGTTAAATATATATGGAGAAAAATCAAGAAAAGGAATACAAGATATTATGACAAATATTACAGAAAACAGAAGAAGATTTGTTCTTAAGTTCTCAGTAAAGTTAATGAATAGAAAAAGTCTTTTGTAAAAATGGATTAAAAATTGTAATACAATCTTCTTAAAATATTACGTAACATTGTAAAATTATATATAATTACAACTAAGATTTGTAATTAGTTTTTGTATTCTTATCCTAGATGGATTGATTTTTGTATTATTAAGATTATTGAGATAATTGTAAATTTTATTTATGTAATATTGTATTTAAGTTTTGTATTAATAATTCAGTGGATTTTATGTTTGTTAAGGATAATCAGAGATTGTAATTTTGTTTATGTAAAAATTGTTTTTCAATAAAGATATTTGTTGGCGGTGCCAACCGATCTTTTATTCAGGGACGGGTACAGTATGGTGGTTGAATTATTAAAATGAGTAGCTCCATTAATCCTGCATATACCGCAAGGTTCACAGGAGTTATTAGTCAGTCTTACTCTTGTAAAAAGCGCCAAACAAATAAGTGGGCGATTCTGCACTTTAGCTCATAATATCTCTTTGAAATGTCCGGTTTTCCCAAACGTTTACGCTTGTTTGAAAATTCCTACCTTAAATTTTCCTTTAAGATCTCCTGGTACTTAATTACAACATCACGAACAGCAGGTTTACAGCAAACCATAACTAAATGCAAAAATCTCACCCCCAAAGTAGCCAAAAATCTTATCTCTAAAACAATATTCTCTACTTTGACTGAGTGTTAAATAATCTCCGATAACAGTGTTACGAATTTTGTATTTGTGTACTTAATTTTAATAGAATTATAAAGTTGTTGCATTTCCTCGTGCAATGCAGGGCGAGACAAATTTTAAGAGAAAGCTATGCCGGAAAAGTAAGAATAGAGGGTCACGTGCATTTAACTTTGAGTTAATGAATATCTCGCAAATTTGTATTGAAATTGAATAAATGTAATGGACTACTGTTACCTGTAAATGTTTAGCTGAAACCGTAATTTCAGAATTTTATGGTTGTTTACACTGAGTTAGCCGAATTAACACATCCTATCATTTATCACTATGCTTGGCGATATTTTTGGTGAAAAATCTGGTTGGCCTATACTGAAGCATAGTTGAAGCACATTTACCAGTAGTTACTCCAAGTGTCTCTAGTGCTCTAAGATACACTTCTATCATACAGAAATGCCATTGAAATTGTTTCAAGTTTTTGAACCAAAATTATCAGTTTGAACAACTCTCTAAGATAAAACTCCACTAAGCGTTCATCTCTTCCAAACCTAGTTTCGACACTCGTAGATGGTAGAAGCTTTCTACAACTTCTTGGGACTCTCGATTACTGTAGCTTGAATAGGATACTGAAATTTAATTTCAGGTGCAATTTTTTTCATCATTATGAATCTGTTGGAATTGACTCCAAATGAGAAGCCAATCCTTAATGTCACCACTAAATTTTCTAATCTCTAATTTCGGTAAATTAAATTTCTTTTTAGATCCCGTAAAAATAACAGAGCTTTGAGACTAACCTGCAGTTGGTAGTTTTGCATGAATTCTCGCCAATTCCAGTTCATGTTGCTTTATCGTTTCCCGCTCTTCGTATCCTATTTCATCTAACCTTTCACCACGTTCTCCTTTTTGGCTCCATTCACTAACAGTCGTTATCATAACATTCGTAAACGAACTCCAATTGCTTAGTCTTGAAAATAAATCCTTTCAGTTCCATTATTGTGATCTTTTGAGGCAATGCCGCACTAATTTTTTCGGAGATATACAAGTCCTCTTTCTTAAATTCTTTTGTTGCCTGAAGCATTGTTTCGAATCAGAAGTAATGTCCTCTCGCGTAACACTAGAAAAGGTAAATAACAACAGCCAATAATTACGGACAAATAAAACAACCGCAAACTAAAAATTACGGACGCTTTTTAAATCCCTCAAATGAACTGCAAATTCTCCAGATGAATGAATACGATAATTTTAAAATTTTACAAATATTTATTCAGTTAAAAAATTTGCATTGCTAACATAAACAACTACAATAAAATTCTGAAAAACACTGCGTTCTAAATATTATGTATAAAAATGAATATTTTCATCAGCAATAATAATAAACATTGCCATACAACAACAGGAAAAGTAATAAAAAAAAACATAAGTTAAAATTGTAGGTGAAGTAGCAGATAAGTGATATTAATTATTTTACAATCTGTAACAGATAGCTCACTCATGCACAGAAATTAATAAATAATCCAATGAAGTGTGTATTCTCTTTATTTAAATTAATATCTTTATATTAATGAACATTTAACTTATAATTACTGGGAATCACGCTCGAGGATCCTCGTTTTTGTTTAGCATGCACTTTCGATCGTTGTTCAGCATGCTCCTCTCCCTCTTCCCCAAAGAAACTCTGAGCCGACGTTCCTTTCAACCATGCAGTTATGCCCGAACAGTTATCAATATGGTAATGTAGATCCATTTTAGGGAAGTGTTTACCACAACAAAATTCACTATATTCGAGAAATAAAGAAATTTTTCTTTCTATTCATTGGATTTATTCTCTTACTTTTTCCCTGGTGTTGGAGCCATACACGTGCTACATATTCACACATTTAATGAAGCAAAAAAAAAAAAAAAAATGTAGCTTACTATAAAGATTTAGAATTTGGTACTCAATATGGAGCAAGAAATGATGGACCTTGTTGATTTGTTTTTCTCCTGCTTGCTGTTTGAATAATTAGTTAAATGCTTCAATACATAAAAAAATTAGTCTTTATAGCCAAAGTGAAAATATTAAATTTCGAATCTTGTGAATAATATGTTTTCTGGAATGATAAGATATTTGTACGAAGAACTTACTTTCGTACTCCTTAGGTTTTAGCATATAAAATGCTTTAGTTCGATATTAAAATAAAAAATATTTAAATTTGACAGTAAGACATTTTGATGTCCATTCAACACTTATTACAGACTTACTTAGAGTTGAAAAGTTAAGATTCTCAAAAACATTCACATTTTCAATTGTAAAAATATTATAAATATAGATGTTTCTTTAGAAAATCTTCATTTCCTGAAGAAATGGCCTCAGAAGCTTGGCGCAACGAGTAAATATTAGTGTCTGAAGATAAAGGATCAAGTTTGGAAAGGGGTATTGCTTGATACAGTGGACAGGATAATTATATAAAGAATAAAAACAAATATTCATAGCATACTTTGAAATTCCAGAGTAATTGCAAATTATGAATCGCTTTTAGACAGCTTAGAAATCGTCAGAGAGTTCTCGGAATATTTTGTCTTTTAATGATTGTGTCAAAAAGTAAACATAAAAAAGTTACACCTTAAATGCAGACGAAGAAGAAAATAATAGACTTTATTTTTCTTATGACAACTTTAACAACATAAAGATATATGCATTCCAAACAATTTTCTATAGTAAAATATAAAACACTGCACCAAATGCAAGAAGTAAAATTTGGTCTATCTAGGGAAATAGCAGGACATTATAGACTAATGAACATTTCTAAATTTAAACAGAAAGAAATTGAACATTGAAATGCTATCCAAATCATAAAAACAAACCATTGTAAAAATTATACAAGAACAAACGTAATATTACAACATAAAAGGCGCACAACGTCTTTTACGAATTTCCTATTAGCTGTCTACAATAACTTTCAAAGATGCTGCCAGCTCCCGCTCCTACGCCAGCACCAACTCCGGCTCCTACGCCAGCACCAACTCCCGCTCCTACGCCAGCACCAACTCCCGCTCCTACGCCAGCACCAACTCCAGCTCCTACATCAGCACCAACTCCTGCCCCTACGCCAGCGCCAATGCCTGCCCCTACGCCAGCGCCAACTCCTGCTGCAGCTCCTACTCCTACACCAGCATCGACTTCTGCTTCTACGTCAGTATCAACTTTTGCTTCAGCTCCTATGCCAGCACCACCTCCTACTCCAGCACCAACACCTGCTCCAGCACCAACACCAGCTCCTACTCCAGCATCAACACCAGCTCCTACACCAGCATCAACACCTGCTCCAGCACCAACACCAGCTCCTACTCCAGCACCAACACCAGCTCCTACTCCAGCATCAGCTGCCGCTCCAGCACCAAGACCTGCTCCTAAGCCAAGTCCTGCTCCAGCGCCAAGACCTGCTCCAGCACCAAGTCCTGCTCCTGCTCCAGCACCAACACCTGCTCCAGCACCAACTCCTGCTCCGGCACCAAGTCCTGCTCCTGCTCCAGCACCAACACCTGCACCTATACCAGCACCAAGACCTGCACCTAAGCAGCACCAGCACCAACACCTGCTCCAGCACCAACACCTGCTCCTAAGCCAGCGCCAACTCCTGCTCCGGCACCAAGACCTGCTCCTAAGCCAGCGCCAACACCTGCTCCAGCACCAACTCCTGCTCCGGCACCAAGTCCTGCTCCTCCTCCAGCACCAAGACCTGCTCCTAAGCCAGCACCAAGACCTGCTCCTAAGCCAGCGCCTACACCTGCTCCAGCACCAACTCCTGCTCCTAAGCCAGCGCCAACTCCTGCTCCGGCACCAAGACCTGCTCTAGCACCCAGGCCTGCTCCAACGCCAACTCCTGCTCCGGCACCAACACCTGCTCCTACTCCAGCACCAGCTCCTAAGCCAGCTGCAGCTCCGCCTCCTAAGCCGGCACCAAAACCTCCTAATTTATATCCGAGGCGTTGAAGGTATTGGAAATAGGGAGCCCCAGCACCAAAACCCGCTGCAGCTCCAAGTCCTGCTCCAACACCGAGTCCTGCTCCAGCCGCAAGACCTGCTCCAGCACCAACACCTGCTCCTAAGCCAACACCTGCTCCTAATCCAGCACCAAGAGCCGCTGCAGCTCCAAGTCCCGCTGCAGCTCCAAGTCCTGCTCCAGCCCCAACACCTGCTCCAGCACCAACACCTGCTCCTACGCCAACTCCCGCCCCAGCACCAAGACCTGCTCCAGCACCAAGTCCTGCTCCAGCACCAACTCCTGCTCCAGCACCAGCACCTGCTCCAGCACCAAGACCTACTCCAGCCCCAAGACCTGCTCCAGCACCAACACCTGCTCCTACGCCAACTCCCGCCCCAGCACCAAGACCTGCTCCAGCACCAAGTCCTGCTCCAGCACCAACTCCTGCTCCAGCACCAGCACCTGCTCCAGCACCAAGACCTGCTCCAGCGCCAAGACCTGCTCCAGCACCAACTCCTGCTCCAGCACCAAGACCTGCTCCAGCACCAAGTCCTGTTCCAGCACGAAGACCTGCTCCTAAGCCAAGTCCTGCTCCAGCGCCAAGACCTGCTCCAGCACCAAGACCTGCTCTAGCACCCAGGCCTGCTCCAACGCCAACTCCTGCTCCGGCACCAACACCTGCTCCTACTCCAGCACCAGCTCCTAAGCCAGCTGCAGCTCCGCCTCCTAAGCCGGCACCAAAACCTCCTAATTTATATCCGAGGCGTTGAAGGTATTGGAAATAGGGAGCCCCAGCACCAAGACCCGTTGCAGCTCCAAGTCCTGCTCCAGCACCGAGTCCTGCTCCAGCCCCAACACCTGCTTCAGCACCAACACCTGCTCCTAAGCCAACACCTGCTCCTAATCCAGCACCAAGACCCGCTGCAGCTCCAAGTCCCGCTGCAGCTCCAAGTCCTGCTCCAGCACCGAGTCCTGCTCCAGCCCCAAGACCTGCTCCAGCACCAACACCTGCTCCTACGCCAACTCCCGCCCCAGCACCAAGACCTGCTCCAGCACCAACTCCTGCTCCAGCACCAGCACCTGCTCCAGCACCAAGACCTACTCCAGCCCCAAGACCTGCTCCAGCACCAACACCTGCTCCTACGCCAACTCCCGCCCCAGCACCAAGACCTGCTCCAGCACCAAGTCCTGCTCCAGCACCAACTCCTGCTCCAGCACCAGCACCTGCTCCAGCACCAAGACCTGCTCCAGCGCCAAGACCTGCTCCAGCACCAACTCCTGCTCCAGCACCAACTCCTGCTCCAGCACCAAGACCTGCTCCTAAGCCAAGTCCTGCCCCAGCGCCAAGACCTGCTCCAGCACCAAGTCCTGCTCCAGCACCAAGACCTGCTCTAGCACCCAGGCCTGCTCCAACGCCAACTCCTGCTCCGGCACCAACACCTGCTCCTACTCCAGCACCAGCTCCTAAGCCAGCTGCAGCTCCGCCTCCTAAGCCGGCACCAAAACCTCCTAATTTATATCCGAGGCGTTGAAGGTATTGGAAATAGGGAGCCCCAGCACCAAGACCCGCTCCAGCCCCAAGACCTGTTCCAGCACCAACACCTGCTCCTAAGCCAACACCTGCTCCTAATCCAGCACCAAGACCCGCTGCAGCTCCAAGTCCTGCTCCAGCACCGAGTCCTGCTCCAGCACCGAGTCCTGCTCCAGCCCCAAGACCTGCTCCAGCACTAACACCTGCTCCTAAGCCAACACCTGCTCCTACTCCACACCTGCTCCACCTAACACCTGCTCCTAAGCCAACACCTGCTCCTACTCCAGCGCCAAGACCTGCCCCAGCTCCAAGTCCTGCTCCAGCACCGAGTCCTGCTCTAGCACCTAGACCTGCTCCTACTCCAGCACCAATACCCGCTCCAGCACCGAGTCCTGCTCCAGCACCTGCACCTGCTCCTACGCCAACTCCCGCCCCAGCACCAAGACCTGCTCCAGCACCAAGTCCTGCTCCAGCACCAACTCCTGCTCCAGCACCAGCACCTGCTCCAGCACCAAGACCTGCTCCAATGCTTTGTAAATATGCTTGCCTTAGAGCGAGGAATTGTTTAAGGGGAGATCCTGCTCCTAAGCCAGCATTCTCTCCTGCCCCAGCACCTGCTCCTACGCCAGCACCAACTCCTGCCCCTATGCCAGCTCCAACTCCTGCCCCAGCACCAACTCCTGCCCCTACGCCAGCTCCAACTCCTGCCCCAGCACCTGCTCCTACGCCAGCTCCAACTCCTGCCCCTACGCCAGCGCCAGCACCCGCTCCTAAGCCAGCGCGAGGTCCTGATCCAAAGGCTGATCTATATCCTTGGCTTTCAGAGAGGAATTGGTAAAGTGGAGATCCTGCTCCTGTCGCAGTACCAGCTCCTGCACCAACACTTGCTCCTACGCCAGCACCAAGTCCTGCCCCTATACCAACTCCAACTCCTGCTCCAGCACCTGCTCCTGCCCCAGCACCAACACCTGCTCCCGCACCAACTCCTGCTCCTACTCCAGCTCCAGCTCCTGATCCTAATCCTGAGCCATATCGTTTGCTTTCAGCGAAGAATTGGTAAAGTGGAGATCCTACACCTAAGCCAGCACCTTCTCCTACCCCAGCACCAGCTCCTACTCCTGCACCAACACCTGCTCCTAAGCCAGCACCAACTCCTGCTCCTAAGCCAGCACCAACTCCTGCTCCTAAACCAGCACCAACTCCCGCTCCTGTGCCAGCACCAGCTCCTGCTCCTACGCCGCCACCATCTGCCCCTAAGTCAAATTCCTGGCTTTGAGAGAGGAATTCGTAATTATACAATTCATTCGGCCCTCTTTGTCCACCTCCTGCTCTTTGTCCAAATCCAGCTCCTGATCCGCGTGCTATAGCCCTTCGTTCTTCAGCCCTAAGGCTGCTGATTATGTCTTCAATTTCTTGTACTTCATCTGTGCCTCATTTTGTTGCAATTCAGCCACTAATCTTTGTGTTTCTTGAGTAACTTCACCTGAAAAGACAAGTTAGGCTATAATTTTAAGACGTATTTGTGTATTACTCTTTTGTATTTGCGTTTAGTGTGAGGCTGAGTGCGTGTTGCGTTAGTGTGAGCATAAAAAAGAGAGAATATATAAGATTTACTTTCTGCGTAAAGATATTTAAGGCTTTTACAATCTCTATAAAGCATATTAAAGCAATTTTAAGCGCATTTGATTTCGGTTTATTGAATTACGGCAATATATACTAGGGCTATCTGCATAAGGGGAAGGATGCCTTCTTGGAGAACTTTCGTAGAAAAATTGGCTCGTATACAATGAGAAGACGATGAAAACGCCCATGCAGACAGTCCGTTTGCTTGCACTCGAACCCATGTAGGAACTACCAGTGTTCGGTTACTTTAATGTTCAGCAGTTGATGGGCATTAAAATCATCCATTTCCATAAAATTTGGTTTCATCTAATTACGACTGTGCTTTTTATTTTGAAGTTTAAATCCAGCAAATAATTTAGATATCTAAATGTGTAAGTCTACGCCGTATAAAAGAATCTTTTTGAACACATAAATTTTATTGATTATTGAAAGTTTTATCCTCTCAAAGATAAATTTTCTAAGCCAGTAATGGCCAGCTGGTGCTGCACTGCTCGACTAAGCTAAGAATCTTACTCTTCAGCTATAATTACGCTACATATGGTTTATGTATTTTTTGGCAATTTTCATTGAACTGCAACAGTTATTTTCAGCCCTAATATTTTAAATAAACTTTTACTGAGGATTATTCATATGGCATTTATTCTCATTTTTAAAAATGATGTATAGTATACATGTATATACTGAAGTGCCTCTGAATTAATAATAGCTAGTCAATAACGATTTGGGCCTCCTCTTCCCTTTATAATGGCTGCCAAACGACGAAACATAAATTCAATAAGTTTCTGGAAGCATTCTACGGGAATGGCTTGCCAAACATCGGATAGAGCTGTCTATAATTTAGGAAGAGTCGCTAGTGTTGTGTGATGAGGTTTAAAACCTTTATCCAAAACGTCCGAAAGATGCTCAGTAGAATTTATGTCAGGGCTTTTAAGTAGCCAATTTATGACGGAGAAGTCAGAAGAATGCTAATCCAATCAGGCAGTAGCCACCCGGGACCTGTGACAGGTGCAGCTATCTTGCTCAGATACTGCATTTCCGTGTGAATGACCGACCAACATAAATGGATGGAGATGACAGCCTAGTAACCCTACGTAGCGAATCATATTGAGGGAGGTTGGTAAAAGTACCAAAGTTCCCAAACATTGCCAAGAGGAAACATCCCAGACCATAATTAAACCACCATGGCCTTGTACAGTTCCAGTATGCCATACAGGCTTCATGTGTCTGACGCCGTATTTTCAGCCTTCCATCGGTATTTTTTAGTCGGAATCGAGACTCATCACTTCTTGTTACTCATTTCAAGTCTGCTAGAGTCTATTCTCTGTATTCTCTTGCCCAGGCAAGAAGTGCAGTTCGATGGCTTACATTCAGCAAAGGTACTGTCGTGAGTCTACGTCTTCCGAAGCCCATATGGTGAAACGAGCGTTGCACGATCCTTTTACTGACTGTACGACTGTCGCCCTGAGTCAGTTAGGTGGTAATATGAGCTAATGTTTGGCTTTGCTGATTATGTACAATACGGCTGAGGCGTTTCACACCACGCTTGTTCTAGGTTAATTGTCCTTTGCAATTTTCTGGATCGCTAGTTCTTCTTCCCACCTGATCCTTGTATTATCGGTATACTCATGACACTGTCGACCTTGAAATTCCTAGCCAGCTTCGGATTTTGAAAACTGAATGGCCCATGCGTCGAGTGCCGACTACCTGTCTTGAAGCTGTCTAAATCAGGACTTTTACTCATACTGGAAATTGAAACGACTGATTAAGAACAACCATAGTAGTAGTTGTATGTGCATTTACAACGTCCTCACGTGAGCACAGATGTCGCATAGCTTTATAAAATTTGCATAGCCTCGTCTATCCCTAATTCCGTGGCACTTCAGTATATTTTTAATAAAATATGAAAAGCTATTTTTAAAATTTCTAAATAATATTAATCAAAAGTTTTTTTTTTAATTTTTTTATTTCCCTGCGGGAAATATTTTAATTGAGAAAAAAAAAATTGGGCATCATATTTCAACGAAAGTATCTATTTTGACGGCTTTTGAATCCATTTGAACGATGTTTTTTTAGTGACATCAGTGCGCCCGATCAGAATAAACGACACGTTTTCCAAAACGGATTGTAAAATGAATTCAGATGAGATTTTTTTCCATGACGTCTGTACGTACGTGTCTGCGTATCTATCACGCATAACTCAAGAACGAATGGCGGTACGACATTGAAATTTTATATATGGGACTGCTATAACATGTAGTTCTGCACCTCCCTTCTTTTGTTGTAGTCGGCTACTTCAAACGTGTATATATATATATATATATATATACATGGATATGGCTGGTGAGTCTAGTGGCTGGTTGAGTCTAGTTTTTTTATTCTCACATGTTGGTAAATTATGCATTTTTTGCTTTAAAAGTGTTTGAAATATGTTATTCTTATATTCCAGTTAAGGTTTTTATGTCTTTAGTTAATGTGTATGGAAAAGTTGTAGAATTATCAACAATTTAAAAGTTTAACCTTTGAGGGCACCGGTATATAATATATACCGGTTGTTTGTCAATTTTTTAACCTTCGTAAAAAATGCTAATTTTTCTACACCAAAAGCTACAATCGTAAGTGTATAGTGTTTTTCTTTCAATTTAAATGGTAGTATCACCCTATGAATGCTCATCTTTGCAGTTTTTGTTATGAAATTAATATACCTCTTTGCAAGGTATCATGTTGCAAGATTCATAAATTCTATTGGAGGGGAAAAAAAATTCAAAATCTGCAAATATATGACGTACACATGCTGAATCTTATATATTTACTTTCATTTTTGTCAGAATGGATAATTAACAGATTATTTATACGATTTAAAACCGGTTAATAATACCGGTATATAATATATTAATATATACCGGCGCCCCACACTGAGGGTAACACGCCAATAGATGACAGCACCCAGTTTTTTTCTCTTTCTCTTTTCTACTCTGTGACCATGACAGAATTTCATTATTATTATAACAGTTTTATGGTGTAATAATTTTTCAATGATTAATTTATAAGTCGTTTGGGATTCAATATATGTTCATGGAGGAATGGGGAGTTTACTGACTCTGCGCTAGGACTGAATACAAGTATATTAGTTTCATTATTCTTTGTGTACTCAGCTCGAGTTTCATTCGTCTGTGTGTAGCTAAAATTTTTATTTCAGCATTATCCCTCTCCAAGAGAAAGACTCATCGATTTCAAATTGCCATCTGGGGTCAAACTTTATACAATTGTGGGGGTTAAATGTGGCATGTTAGCCCCCAAAAGACACCCGTTGCTTCGTGTTTTCCAAAACCTAGAATGCAAGGAAAATGAAAGAGGTGATTGACAACTAATTTGTCTTCGGGAGTCACGCTCTCTCCCTTTGTGTGTGATAAGATCACACAAAGGGAAAGCACAACTTAAAATGGAAATGTACTTAAGGTCCATCTCATAGTGTAATCACAAAAACTGCTGGTTTGAAAGCATGCTTTTATTCTTTAGTAGCGAAATTCTTTTAATTCTTTGTTTAATTTCAGATGAAAGACTAGAGAACACAAGAGAAATTTGCACTCTGGTTGATACAAATAGGTTGTTTCCGAAATAAATTTTCACAGTTGGTGAAAGGAGGAAAAATATTTCTAAGGCCCGTTTTAGATGCAAACTAAATTGTATCCAAAAGTTGAAAAGGAGCCCCTATGAGGCCAAAGGGATTGAAAATCAGAATAAGAGCTTTGAGGTGTATCACATAATAAAATTGTTTAACGGCGTTTCTTCCTGAAAAAAAAAAAAAAAAAAAAGATATATTACAAACTATACAAAAAATAAAAAAGGGACCTTTGCGGTCCTCGATGATCTAAAAGTGTGTGTGGAGGGGGGAGGGGCAATTCTTCGTATACTGTATGAAGCATGGTTTTTTTCACATATTATCTAAAGCATAAAATACAACTTCAAAAATGCAACATACTTTCTCAGCTGAGTCGGTCGTAGTGCTTCATTTTTCAATTTTTTAAATTTTCGGCTGAGTTACATCTGCTTGTAATATTATACTAGTTCAGTTACAGCATGATAGAATTTACACATGCAGTGTTATATTTGCTAAATTTTTTTATAAAATAATATTGAATTTAAATCAGGTTGAAAAGCTTTTTACCCTTATTTTACGTAAGTATATTCAGCTGGGTTGCATCATCAAAGTGCATAAAAACATAAATTTTATTTTTAAAATTTTTAATTTCTGCCGAAATTTAAAAAAAATTTGTCTTTAGACTTACATAACTGTATTCAAGCACTCATCACTACAGACGCACATCAAAAGTATGCAAAATTAATTTTAAAAACAAAGATTAACAGTTGGCAGCTAACTGGAAAAAAATGTCCTAGAGGGGCGCCGGTATAAAATATATACCGGCTCTCAAAATTCAGGATTTCGCTCTAGATTTTTTTTTTTTTTTTTTTTTTTTTTTTTGAAGTCTCAATTTTGTGTCCTTAGGGTCCATAAGTCATAGTTCATGCAAAATTTTACCACAGTTTAAATTATTTTATATACCTCCCCTCAAAGGGTTAAGTGTCCCTACGTCTAACGAGGCCGTCATTTGTTTACATTTGAAACTGTTGCATCATAAAGTATAATACGATGTTTAGCTTAGCAGCGCTTCTCCTGACGCATGCGCCGCTATCGTTTATCCGTGCGTTGGTGATGTAACTCATTCTTACGTATCTATGTATGGGTATGCGTTTTTACTTCTTCGCTTTCTCTGCTATATGGAATTATGTTTAAGTTTTAATC